TTTTTAACCCCATTTTTGCGATTTTTTCGATTTTTACCATAATAATCATGATTCATTCGATTTGTAACTAGACATGTTTTGTAATAAATTTAATTGCAAACATTTTTTTTCTCTTCCATTTTCGCATAAAATCAACTCTTGAAAAGATACATAATTTAATAGGAAGAAAAATATTACATTTTTCGAATTTTTTTAACATATTGTGCCGCCAAAAGTTAAGGCCATGTTTTTTTATGCGCATAGAAAAATTTTCATTTCTAGTGATATTTGAAAGCCAAAAAGCCAAAAATCTCCGTGGATATACGATTCACCCAAACCAAAACAGATACCGTCTATAATTTTTTAAGTTAACTTCGTCGTTTATGCGCCACAGGAAAAAACACTGTCTTAGAATTTTTTTGCTATATCACCATATTTTTTGTTTCCAGGCGGTATTTTTTGTAAGCTCTTCTACCTATTGATTGGTATTTTAGATATTTACGGATTACCAGTACACCTTCTTCGAGATAAGGATCACTCGCATAATTTCCGAATTTAAGGTGGAATCACCCTGTGTATTTTCCTTCGAGGTACACAGTTATTTCTATCTGTGGAATAGCGATTGTAAATTGTTTTTATTACAAGTGAGTCAGTCAGAACTACTTTGATAAATTTGTTATTGCGACACGAAGTCCGGTGTTACTTTAGGTTATCATAGAAATTACCTAAAATAATTCCATTAGCTGTGTAGATTTAAAAATGTTTCTTCTTTTAAAGAAATAAATCATATAATAATTAAAAGTTGATTAGGGACTTATAGATGAAAATATAAGAAGTTTTTTAATTAACAATGAACAACCTTTACATATACTACTCGTATAGTAACACTGCCGTAACCTCAAAAAAATTATTAAATAACTTTTGTACCCTTGACTTATACCTGTTACAATACAGAAGACAATTTGCTTAATGACAATTTATAAACATTCATTGGAGGTGCGTTATATACAACAATTTCTTATTTTTGCCCCAAAATATTTTTCTTACAATTAGAATACTTTTTAACTGAAGTTTTAGTAAAATCGACAATAAATACAGACCTATTTTTTCGGGTGATGTATATTAATCATTTATAGACTATATATAAAAAAAGTTATGTATAATATAACCTAAGACGTTATCAACAAGCTACTCACTGGTGAAATATCCATCTCCTATGTTGGAACTCCAGTACAGGTGGCTAAATTTCAGTCTACGATATTGCGAACTCCAATTGGCAGAATGATCACTAAAATTTGAAAAGTTGGACATTGCTATGTTATTTGAAAGAATTAATGTATTATTATTTACACTTTCTAGTCGCTTCTTGCCTTAACCGATAAATTACAATAATGCTGATTATATTTATCGTTCCACCAGGGGCGCAGAGCTTATTTTTTGTGTAAAGTATCTACAAGCCATATTTCCCTAATTTTTGCCCGAGTATCTTTTAATAGAAATAGCTAAGTAATGAATATCGTGTAAATTGAAGTGCACAGTGCTAAATGCAATAACGACAGTTGCAAATGTCGTAAGTTTGTATTAACTACTTCTTTTGACAACCTTGATCGTTTAACCACAAACTGGAAATAGTTCAAGATTATCATATTTTATCTAATTACGTGCTCGAGATAAAACGACAACCCAAAATGGGGTCACATAACACTGAATATTCTTTAAATTTGAATATGTTACACAGGGTGTCGTAAATATTACACTGTAATGATTTTGTTTTGAAAATTAATTGTTCTTCGTTCATGACAATAATATAAAACATATTGTTATGATTAACAAGTGTTTATGTCTGCTTTTCAAATTATTCTGCATTTATTATTGTTCTACTGTAGATAATAGTATACAGGGTGTTAAAAAAAGAGTATAAAATATTTCAGGAGGTAATAGTATGAACCAAAATAAGCAGAAAAGTCTCAATAAACATGGGTCCGCAAAGTAACGGTTGCGGAGATATGGAATGTTTTATATGTATTTAGCCCCTTTTTTTATTTTGCAAAAACGTTGTGTATTTTCTTATAATAGTTGGTTGATGTTTAGTGAAATAAATAGTACGTATTTGACAGTTGTTCCCAGTGCACAAGTTTTCTTTCGCTATGGCTGGTTACTCTAACGCAGAATTAACAGACATGTATGGTCGTGCTAATGGGAACGCCACCGAAGCGCGACGTCTTTATGTTGACGCTTATCCAAATCGCCAGATTCCTTCACAACGCATGTTTGGAAAAATTCACCAAAGATTGTGTGATACCGGTTCCTTGAGCAAACAGTGCCATTTATCCGGAAGACCAAGGTCGGTATCCACGTATCCACTCCTAGAGTAGAAGAAGAAATTCTAGCACTGGTAAAGCAGAATCCAGGTACGAGTGTGCGGAGAATATCAGCCGAGGTAGGAATTAGCGGTTCTCTTGTTTGGAGAATCCTTCACGAGCAACTGCTTTATCCATACCATGTGCAACGAGTACAGGCCTTAAATCCAATAAATGATCATCAAGCACGTTTGGTTTTTTGCCACTGGTTTCTACGTCATGATGCTGAAGACCCTCGTTTTCTTGCAAACATTCTTTTTACTGATGAGGCCGGGTTCACAAGAAATGAAGTGTTTAATTTTCACAATACGCATATAGGGCCGACGAAAATCCTCATACTCTAATAGAATCTGGACATCAGGCACGTTTTTCATTAAACATTTGGATGGGTATTGTAGGTTCTAGGTCCTGTTGTTTTACCAAACCGATTAACAGGCGCTGCTTACCTCAACTTTCTGCTGAACACACTGTATGAGTTTTTGGAAGACATTCCTTTGAATCAAAGGCAACAAATGTGGTTCCAGCATGATGGTGCTCCGCTTTTCCACATAGATGGGTAGGAAGGGCCGGACCTGTTTTATGGCCTCCAAGATCGCCTGATCTGAATCCTCTAGATTTATTTGTTTGGGGATATTTGAAGACATTAGTGTATGGTACTCTTGTAAATAGCCTGGAAGAGCTGCAGCTACGGATTACTCAAAAGTGTCAAGAAATCCAAACCAAGGAGGGTGTTTTCGAAAGAGTTCGAATATCGTTGAGACGAAGATGTCGTGCCTGCTTGGAAATGGACGGAGGACACTTTGAACATCTTCTTTGTTTTTTGTTTGTTAAAAGCTTCCTTTGTCGGTTTGTTCCTAATAAAATAAAATGTTTGAAAAACGAATAGTGGTCCATATCTCCGCAACCGTTACTTTGCGGACCCATGTTTATTAAGACTTTTCTGCTTTTTTTGGTTCATACTAGGTATTACCTCCTGAAATATTTTACACTCTTTTTTTAACACCCTGTATTTTTCAAAAATAGGAGATGAGAGCACTGCTTTGTTTGGCCACCAGCTGCTTTAAACACAAGTAGGATAAAGTTCGCGAACGAAAATTGTATTTAATTTTTTTAGGATATAACATTTTCAATTTAATTTTAAATAAACAAATTGTCGAGTCTGGTCAGAATATTCCATAGAAAAAGCTTTACTGCTAACTGAAGAAGATATGGATTTTCAACAATTTTGAAAATTAACCGCTGTATGAATTGCTTATACGAAGAAATCAAGAGTATTAAATAAATCTGTAAACGAATACATACATATTTTTTGATGATATGCTGTCTACTACATCGAATTGTTATGGGCTGTCTAAAATTCTTATTGAAAATTGTGTTATCTGCAAAGTATGATTCGTTTACAATGAACAATGACAAACTGTTATGTCTACACTCGAGATGATGCGGTTGCTGATTGGTTGAATAGAATCTCGTGAAAAATTACACCAATCACAGGCGGTCAAACAAAATGTTGCGTTTTAATGTAATCTTGATCTTGTTTGAATAATTTTTGAAGGAAATAAAATTAATCACGTGGCTTATAATCACCTTTGAAGGCTCTGTAGACGTTGACAGACCTAACAGAATAAAAACTTATTATGTTTATTAAAACCAATTTTTGACGCGAAATTGTTTAAAAAACTGTCATTTATATTTAAAAAATATTTTTATTGCTTCTTTTTTGTTTTATATTAAAGTCTACAGTTCTTCAGATGAATTTTAATTAAACGGTTAACATAAAAAAAAATAGTGAGTCTGAATTACTAAATAATTCCCATTTGTGGAAAAATTAGCCAACTTTGATTATTTAAAAAAAAATTAACTGAAAATGTTGCTATTTTTATTTATAATTTTTCTACAGTTTTAAGTTTAAAAAAGAAAGGCTGGAATTCCAAGGTAAGGCAAATGTGGTCAACTTTGTTTATTAAAAGATGTGTCGAAGGATATAACTGATACGAGGACAAATTCTTTTCTGTCGTAACGGGAAAGACATGTTTTTTATAGAAAATTTTGCTTGTTATTTAAGATAATAATTATTGAATCCTTGACATTATTTCACTCTACTTCAAACATTTTATTCTTCACTGTCACTACTTCGTTTAAAAATCCAACAGTTATTACCTTCAAAATGCTAACTTCACAGCAAAAAATATAACATTTATCGCCAATACGATAATTAAACGAAAATTATCCAGGCGTACGTGTAGCGCTGTCATCTTTACAAAAAATTTTCAGACATTTTAAAAAATGGAGTCACTGTTGAAAACAACGAGGCAAAAGAAAAACTATGACTATGAAGATGCTACTATGTTCGTTCTACAGTCAGTGAATGAATATCCTTCGCTCAGACGTTCAGAATACTCAAGAGTTGTAAAAAAATTTTGAACCGAAATAAAATTCTGTCATACAAATCAGTTTTTACTACACATTTCGATTTTTTCTGTGGATCGGAGGAACATATTGTTTCTGGGCGAATCTACTTTTTCGACAACTCTCAACACTTACGATATTGCTGTGCCGAGAATCCTCATTTTGGAATATCATCAAACACTAGGTAAATATTGGTGTGTGATTTCCTTTTATGGTAAAATAGGACTATAATCCTTTGAAGATAAATGCAACAGGAATAGCCACCTGAATATGCTCCAAACGTTTGGAAAATTTCCAGTAAACTACCGATATTCCTTTTTTTCCCCAGAGAAGACAGTTATCTGGCTCATTCTACTGTAAATGTTAGGACCTGGTTACATGATACATTTCGCAATCGTTGGATTGGCCGGCATGGTCAAAATCTATGGCCCCTTCGATGTCCAGATGACAATCATGGACTTTTACTTGTGGATAACAACATCGACTAGCTAAAACAATGTATCAGGGAGCTGCACAGTGCACAGTCCATATCTATAGAAGAGGTTAGACGAAGCTATAATGAATTCGCTTCTCGCTATCAAATTTGTGTAGACTTTGGTGGAGGAGTGTTTGAACATGATTTATTATACATTTTCTTCCATATTTATTACGTTCTTTAAAAAATTAAATCAGTTTTGTGTACGAATTGTTTTATTTAAAAACTGAAGTAACTTTTTGAGATGACTTTTCCCAAGTATCACTTTTCGAAAGAGTAAAAATAAAGGTAGTTATTCTTATGACACTTTCATGGTTTTCAATTTTCTGGATACCCCGTACACTTTAAATACAAGCAAAACTCTATCAACGTATTTTTCCCCTTTTCTTCATTCTAATCTTTTATTCATCCTAACCACGGACCTATTGTACTGTAGGTATATTTACGAATTCAACCGAAATTTTGAGAAACAATGGCAGTATCGTCATTCTTTGAAATGTGAAAGAATAAAATCTCACAAAGAATATCGAGTGATTGTTTTTGTACATGACATTTAAATCAATTGGATAACACGCTAAGAACTACCCAACACCTAAAAAAGAGTTGCACGCAAACAAGTCCCATGGCGGTTTCAACGACCTATTGCAGGACTTTCCATGCCTTCAGGTGACAAAAAAAACGAAGATGATATCGAGGTCGAAGACCAATGCCGTTGCAAAAAACACACAACCATAATTAATAACCTGTAACGGTAAAAACGTTTCTTTTACCTGGGTATACTTCAAATGAACTAATTATAGGGAGGGGCAAAAGGTGTGTTAAGAATTTTTGTTTAATTGATAATTGTATTCAGTGTTCTAGTTTTTTTTAATATAAAACTTCATTTAAAAAATAGACGACTCTGCCACTGTATGTGTATGAATACGTACTGAATATCTGGATTTGTTTTGTATTTATTTCGAAAACAAAAATTATCTCGGGATATCAAAGCTACTGTTTACAAGTACGTATCTTTTTCACATATCGGAAATCTAGGGGGTAATACTTGTACATGGTACACAATAATATTGTTCGTTTGGTTTGTACATTAGGTGTCTCGATTTATATCAGCAGGGTCAAGCCAGATTTCATTAATAAATAATTTATTTATGAATCTTACATGTCAACAGTTCAAAATAATAATGGTCCGAATTGTTTAAAAATAATTAAAACATGATTATTAAAATGTTTTAATTAACTCGTTTTGCTTAAAATGTAAAATAATTAAATTACTTGTCACTTTAACTAATTTTAATATTTTTGAAAAGTTTCTCAACTTTACTATAACACTCGAAGGAGAGGTAAAATCAGATGTATAAGAAATAGA